GATTCGATCTTGAAAGTGGCCGCCCACTCTCTTACTAATTGTAGCTATTTGTTTCAATGTTTGTTGAGTAACAGTTTCTAGATGCAGTTTACGTTAAAAGACGAATCATTTCTGATAGAATGAAAAGAAATACTTAATGAAGAGAAAGGTTAACCCTTGAGAAAGGTTGAAACCGGTCGTTGTATCTTCTTTTCATTTTTTCAGAAATGAGTTCTGTTTGAGTTTCTAGTAACTGATAAGCGGTTGGAAAACTAAGCTAAATTAAAATTGTATTAAGTCGAGTTTCACATTTCATATATGTAAAGTGTATTTGGAAAGACTCAACGTTTTGATAAATGCAATTTGACAAGGAAAAGTGCGAAGAAGTAAAGAAAAGATAGAAATATTCGTTTCTTTACACATTGATTTATTTATTGTAGTTAATAAATATGTCGATTAATAGAATTACAGATCTTTATATTCGTTCACAATTATACTGATTCAGCTTTGCAGACCGATGCAATTTTCTCGGATAATCTCAACACTAAACGGTCCACTTGTTTGTCCATTGATCAAATATCTCTGAATTCGTTTCTCTACTCCTCACCCTCCTCACGAAAGAATATTTTGTGTTCTGAAAACTAATCCATTAACATGGTTAATTATGATGGCACAAAATTTTGAGATGAAACCTTATAGATTGCAATTCTAAAATCTTATTGAAGTCTCTCTCTCAACTTCTTCTGCGACGTATGACATTTGATGGATTCAACTCCTTTAAGATTTCGAATTTTAGATGCTTTTACGAAAACTTGTCCTTTTGAAACGAAGTATATTTCGCTTACTCTTTATTATTATCATTCTTCTTATTGCCGTTATAATTTCAATCTATCCGCCGTTCAGTGTCCAACGGGTTACACTTGACTATACTTCGCCATTTTCCAGACGAGATTCACCACAAGTAACATCCCTTCCATTTCCAATACCTAAGAATTATTTGTTGATACCGTACAAAGAGTTTGTTCTAAGAACATCGATTGCTTGTCGAATGTTCAAATTTGAGTATCCACAAAAAAACCCATTGGCATTACATCCAAAATATTCGAAATATTTAAATGGTACATTCCGTTTCGTAATACCCTCTAAGAAGATATCATATGACGATATTGAACAATTTTACACCGATTTATCGTCACCAAAATATGAAAACCAAGAATTTGTTCCTACGCACACATCGTTTGCGAGTGATTTAACGTTTAAAAATGTACCCTACGTCTATAAGAACGGTATGTGGCAACCTATCGAGGTTAGGTCGTTTCAGCGAACTGCCATTTTGGTACCACTTCAAGGTCGAGATTACAATGCTAAAGTATTTCTACTAAATTTACATGCCTTTTTTCGTCGACAATTGTTAACATATAAAATATTTATTATCGAACAGATATATCCGCAAAACAAATTTAATAAAGGTCGCTTATACAATACAGCCTTCAATTACATTAGAAATCGTTCATCACTCAACATAACCTGTTATGTTCTGCACGATGTTGATTTAATACCCGATGATGATAGTAATTACTATACGTGTGAAACAAAAAATCCAAAGCATACAACATCACGCATTAGACAATTAATAAAAGCACAGTATGTGAAATATTATGAATTTTTAATTGGAGGAGTACTAATTCTTACTTACGATCACTATAAAGCATTAAATGGATTTTCCAATTTATATTGGGGTTGGGGTGGTGAAGATGACGATCTCGCATTACGCGTGGTTCAACAACGAATGTGTATTATTCGACCGCCTGCTGAAGCAGCTATTTACAGTGGTAAGTTTAATTCTAAATATAGTTGGAGATGATTTTAACAGTTCAAATAGTGAAAAAATCTATAGTTAATGATGTTATTTTAGCCCTTCCTCATCAAAGAGGTCAACGAAACTCTCAACGTTTCGATTTATTAACGTGGTCAACAATCCGCATGCATACTGATGGTTTGAGTAATATTGAAAATTTGACGAATATTGAGGAAATAAAAGTATTGACTACAGTTACGCATCTTAAAGTTAATGTTGATGTCATTAATGATGCTGGAAGAAGTAAACGTACATCTTCAGCACCATTAGAAAGGACGAAAACGACTACTTTGGAAACGTTGTTTTTGCTAAAAAAAAAAGATACTTAAAAGAATATACTTTTTTGCTGTTGTTATTATTTGTTATTCATGTACAAAATTTTCAAGGTTTCACGCGTGAAATGTTTTTATATATAAAACAACTCAATTTCATAAACTTTAATCGTGTTTACGTGTGAAATCTAGAAAATTTTGTTTCTTCAAATATATAGTCTGTCAGATAGTATCGTAACTACTAACCACGCAAGGGATGCAACAAATACATCTCTAAAGTTTCAGCCTTAACTGTTATTTTCTTTCTAGATTATTAAACAACTGAAACCGAACAATATTTTTTTTTCTTCTTCAGCTTCTCACAAGCAGTAAAAAGAATCTAGTAGTCGGGCGATTGCTAGATTTCTCCTCAATTGCAAATATCGATTTATCGCCCAATAATCGATCGATTTAACTATTGCTAGTTGCATATGCAGGCGTATCTAGTTAAAGTCCCTTTTCCAACTAGTAATCTGGATAACAACTAGTAATGTATCGCCTGATTACAGATGAAATCTATCTAGATTTTTCCCATAAGCGATAAAGAAGAAGTGGTCTGTGGTTCATGACTCGATGCAGATGATAGTACCTCAGATTCAGAAGATATTTTTTTGACATTTTCTAACGGTCTAACAATTGATATTTAAATGGCAAAAAAATGTGACCAGTAGGGTTACTGGCAGCAGTTAAATGCCTGTTATTTGACCGTTTTTTGACATTTAAAAAATACGAAATAAATGCATTTAAACGTTCCCAGTTATAATGGCAAAAAACGGCCTAGAAACGGGGTCAAATGTTATTTAAATGCTTACTAACAGCGTATTAAATGGCATTTAATTGGCAATTAATTACACCGTTTTCGACGTCTTGGGTTATACGAAATGGTTGCTAAGTGGTTTTCTGAACGGCTGTCTTCAATAAAATGGGTGTGTCCTCCACAGTTCAATTCAAAACTCGTCAAAACCCTTAACAGAATGTTCTCTTATATGCCTTGCATGTATGGTGAATGCATAAACACGCATAAATACTCGTGGACCGTACGGTAAGTTTTCCGATATTTTCCATTTATCTCAGCCCAGAATGTTTTTATTCAATAAAAATGACATATTCAGAATCAGCACAAGACACTACATCAAATGGTGTGCGATTAGTAGGTTTTTCTGAATAAAAACTTGTTGGGTCTAACGAAATACTAAAGTCGTGACAACTTTGGCTAAGGATTTTGATATTTGCTATAGAAGCAGCTCGAAAGCCCACAAACACTTTTTTCATGGGTTTTCAGATATGCTCTTTCCAATGATGTGCTTTATAAAGTTCTCGAACTTATGTATGGGTTTTCTAGAGACTCAATGGCTGGAGAACCCCGACATAAGTATTCGGGAACTTTATAAAGCACACCCATTGGAAAGAGCATATCTGAAAACCTATGAAAAAAGTGTTTTGGGCTTTTGGATTGCTTTTGTAGCAAATGTCCGCCTATGGAAAAATTCACACTGTCAAGCAATCCCACTAGAATTCTACTGATAATAAGATTTCATAGGATTCCTATTGTAGGATCCTATAAAATCTTACGGCAGGAATTTCGGAGCATTCTTGATATAGGACGGTAACACAAAATCCTGTAGGATTGCTATAACAGGAACATTATGCATTTCTCACAAAATTCTACGGTAAGATTTTGTGTAGGATTTCTATTTTTTCGTTCAATATATATTTTCTTTTCTTTTTCCATACGAGAGCACAATCACTGACATGTTTTGCAGTAACTCTAATATAAATACAACCTTACTGTAGAAAATGAAAAATTCCTTTCGGCTCAAAGTTTCACACCGAACACTGTGAACCATCGATCGACGATGTGTGACTCAGTACTCAGTACTTCATTCACACGTCCTGAGCTTATCCCAGCTCAGAATCACTTGATTCTGGCTAGCTGGGATCAAAGAATAATTAAACAAATACAAACAATAAATCTATTTAAGTTTAAATTTCCTGTTACTGTGTGATGAACTGTGATTTGCATGTAATGTTTGTACGTATTAGCGAATAAAAACAGATTTGTGATTGAGATGAACGGATGTGGCATGAAAATAGACAAAAAAGGGTGAGGGGTAGCGGTACGTAGCAGCTATAGCAGTCAGCAGAGAATCAGATAAAATTCCATTGCAATTCTACAGCAGGATCCTGTACGATTCTACAAGACCTGGCTACAGGATCCTATAAGAATCTTAAAGTAGAATTTTTTGGCTTTGAGATTTTCCTACAAGATCCTAATAGGAGCAGCAAGACGTTGAAGTGAATTTAAGGGCCCTAAATGGGTGAAATATGAGCTATCATAGACAATTGCTCCATACTCAAAGACAGGTCTTACACAAGTCTCATACAGATGTTTTTTCAATTTGGCAGGGGCATATCGAAAAGTCCGATATATCACATCCAGCATTCGTCTGCATTTCATCTTGATCTTTTCAATGTGACTAACCCATATTAAGTCATGAAAAATATAGAGCCCGAGCAACTTGATCTCACTCACCTCCTCAAGGGGAATTTCTCCTAACTTGATAATAGCTGGAGATTAAAAATAGGCTTACGGTCGAAAATCATCCACAGACATTTAACATTCAAATTGACAAGCACCTTTTCACACCAAGTGTGAATGCTAGTTACTTCGGATCGATAGGAATCCAGGCTATTATCAGACCGGGAGAGATACGGTACAAAGAAGATCATCGTCAAAAAGAGAAATTAGGATAGTAGGCTTGAGGCATTCTGCAATGTCATTTATGAATATCAAAAAGAGCAAGGGCCCAAATTCGATACTTGCGGAACGACAGCTGTTACTAATATTGCTTGGGAAAGGAGGTTGTTAATTTTTACCCTTTGAGTTCGCCCATTAAGATATGAACCAAACCAGTGGAAAAGTTTCTCATTGACGCCTTCCTTTCCGAAGGATACTTGGCTCTCTAGTTGCTTTCCACCCAAAAAATTCTTCGCTACGTCGACGGAGTGAAATTCAAAGAGACTTATTCTGTTAAACTGAAAAGATTTCTATATATATTATGGCCTGTACGCTTATGAGTTGCATAAAATAAAAAATGAGACGTGAAAAAGTACTTATTTAAAATTTCATCTAACTTCGTGTTCATATCGACTTTTCAAAAATGACGTGAAATTCGATTAAAATTAAGGCGAATAATATCGAAACTAGAGTTAGATGTTTATGAAACAAATATCAAAATACTTACAAAAACTCATTCCAAAACTGGTTTGATACCTTTAATTAATTAATGGGTACTGACGTGCGAATTTGATTAAGGTAAGTACTTAGCATCGCGCAAAATACGATATCTAGTTGATTTTACTTATTTAATATTTTAATATAGCAAAAAATGATAATATATTATAAAAAAAACAAAAAAAAAAACACGTAATGCAGTAATCAATGATTATAAAACATAAACATTCTGTATAATTTTTTGCTATATTAAAATATTACATAAGTAAAATCAACTAGATATCGTATTTTGCGCGATGCTAGGTACTTATCTTAATCAAATTCGCACGCCAGTACCCATTAATTAACTAAAGGTATCAAACCAGTTTTGGAATGAGTTTTTGTAAGCATTTTGATATTTATTTTTGTTAACATTTTTATATATTAAAATGTTGGTTCATAAACATCTTACTCTAGTTTCGATATTATCTGCCTTAATTTTAATCGAATTTCACGTCTCATTTTTTTTATTCAACTCATAAGAGTACAGCCAATAATATACATAGAAATTTTTCCATTAATTGCTCATAATTAATGAACATATTTAATAATACTGTGTAAAGTCATTACCACAATATGTATAAAATTACATCTAAATATTTAAGATCACAGAGCCTGCTGATCGCTGTTGTGATGCAATTTTCACATATCTTGTAGCTAATGACATGACGAACGCCTTTTGCCTGAAGAGTATGTCAGAAATCTACTTCTGAAGCGCACCAGAGGTTTGTTTCGGGAAACTCCATGTATTTGAACGGACCGACCAGAATTACCCCACGCAAAATAGCTCATCGATCGGAATTACCCCATATGGGAGAATTCGGGTCAGTTTCGAGGTCCCTGTCTCCTTTTTGAATACCGCTCGAAAACGGAGTGGAACTTTTAGAAGATTTTTACATCCGCGGATAGCGAACTGTTAGTCTACCTTCATATTCAATAGCACGCTTATCCGATTAAAAATAGCTTAGAAATACGCAAGGTACTGAGAAACTTTGTGCAAGTCGCTGGAATTACCCCCTGGAAAATATGCTCAACTTTTGAGACTCATTACTTAATAATTAAACCATATATCGAAAAAATGCCTTCAGATCTGTCATCTACCGCTGCTGTACGTTCCAATCATCTTTTTACCAAATCTGTACGATCAGCGATAGCTGAGAACGAGTGGCTGACTAAAAGGAAAAAGTGAGTTTAGAAGAAAGAAGAAAGAACTAGATGCCAACTGCCCTACGGGCAGATTGGAAATCCGACCGAGTGAAACATATCTCAGAAACACTTTAGAGACTGCCTGAATCTCTTAAATACGATTATCAGTTTTTTATCTGAGTCAGTATAAATGTTTTCATCTTATTCTACTGTAATTGAGTCATTTTTAGTTTATTAACCGCCTTAGTTTTTTGATCTGTTGCTGCGTATTTAATTTTGTCACATGTCAAAATAAAATGTTCGTAGTAGCCTACTGTTAAAAGGCTAATCCCTTTTAACAGTTCAAAAAAAGTTCCCGGCGTATTTAATGCATTCTCAATGTCTTAAGGACATCAGAATGTCTCACTATATGCATAAAAAATGCATTTGATTTACACGGGAAAAGATATCCAAAATGCCTTGACTCAACATTCACGATGTCTCATGAAGATACTATGGATGCACGAAATTGGAATCCAGCCGCTTTCGTAAGGTATCGTAGCACGTCTTTTACATGGGAATTTCTTCTTACTGATAAAAAATGAAGTCACCTTTGACT